ATGTTCACCTACAGAACGACACACACGCACACACACACACACACACGCACACACACACACATATATATAATGTCCAGCACGTCAATAAAAACTACTGTAACTGACACACTGAAATAAAAACAGTAAAACAACTGGAGACACAAACAAAAAAAAGGATGAAAGACACTAAAAATAACAGATAATTGAATTAACTTGAGACCCCCAAGAAATAAATGTACTATGGGTCCCTGTTGAAGCTTTGCCTTCAAAAAGCTTCATTATGTAATTATGGAAATTATTAGTAATAAATAAGTAATTACACAGGAACCATTAGTTGATTCTTTATCTGAGAAACTCTAACAAATGTAATCAAACGACCAAAAAAACCAGCTTTGTCCTGTTGTTTTAGCCATAAATTCAATAATAAATGTTCACAATAATAGAATAAATGAACTAAAAAGAAGTCAGATTAAAGAGTTTAAGTTTAAATTCATAAAAACATTCATGATAAAAACACCAAGTGTGTCAGATAAATCTTTAAAATCATATAAAACAACCAGACAACCAACACAAAGCCTTTAACCAGCGAACAGTCACACAGCTCACCGACTCGATGCCCGCCCTGACGACTGATGGTTGCTAGGCACTGGATGTACGTCCTCGTCATCGAGGTGGGCGGGGCCTTGGAGAGCTCCGTCATCAGGTGTTCGGTCAGCTGGGAGAAAAGGGCGGGGCTACAGCAGGGCACCAGGTGACCGAGAGCCATGATGGAGCGCTTCCTGACCGCCATCCTGGGGCTGGTTAACTGAGACAAACATACAGTATTTATTGATTATAGCTGATAAACAGAATCAGAAGCACTTTATTGATCCCTGAGGGGGAAATTGGCTGCGTTACAGTTGCTAAAAAAGACTTTTGCATTATAAGAAATAAAAGTAATAATAAGAAAGTTATAACAATAATAATATACAGTATATAACAATATATAGAGAATAGAGTGTCTGAGTCTCCTTCTCTTGTCTGTTTCATCCTGTTATAAATATATTTGTTATATATTGTGATATGCAGAAATCATAATAATAAATCAATAATTCCCCTCAGATGCATAGAAACTAAAGAAACAAGCCTGTAAGGAGCTGAATGTGCAGATATTTGTGTAAAAATGTTTTATTTCTCAGCTCTGAATATAAACAATATTTAACTTTAAAAAAAGGAGAGATAATTACTTATCTAATATACATTAAAACATTCACCATGAAAGGTTCACAGTCCGATCCAACACTAATTTATTTCTGTATGTATAAACACAGATATATATATATATGTATTTATATATATGTATTTATATATATATAATTCTAGGAGTTTCTTACCTGAGGGAGCAGACTGGAGAGCAGAGAGCTGTGAAAACTCACCAGAGCACCGCTGAGCCTGGAGAAAGAATAACAACACACAGAGTTTGTGTTTAATATTTAATTTACTTCTTAATTAAACTCTCTGTGATTTAATATCTAACAATAAGAGTTTGTGCCAGCAGCTCTGCGGCTGTACTCAGGGCGCTTTGAGCTAAATGCTAACATGCTGATGATTAGCAGGTATAATATTTACCGTGTTAATTACATTATTTTAGTACATTTGCAGTCGAGCATTTACTAATTAGTGCTGATGGGAATGTGAGTAGTTTTGCAGATATTTAATTATGGGACAAATTACAAGTTTGACCTGATGGTGGCGCTATAATGAAAAGTTAAAGGATCACCGAAGTTATTACAGTTCATCCTGAGAGAGACGTGAATGTCTGACGGCAATTGACCCTCCATAAGCCCCGCCCCCTTTTTGCTCTGTGCTCCAATCACAGTTGAACAAGCCTCGATCAACTTCCTCCTCTCCTGTACTTAGATATGCTACATGCTAAGCTAATCTATGTTAAAAAGACAACCCCATTTTGAAAGTGGATAAAAGATAAAAGTGACAAAACACTAGTTCACTAACAAGCTCATCTACACCAATCAGCACATTTCTAAGTTATTTATAGATAGATATAGATATTTATAGATAGATATAGATATTTATAGATAGATATAGATATTTATAGATAGATATAGATATTTCAGTCTGGATCAGAATAATGGAGCGACCGACTGACGCGCTGCTGGATGTTTTGTATTAAAGGTTTCGTAATGTTTCGTAATTACCTTCCCAACATGTCCGACAGGATGTCCAGAGCCTCTAACTGAACTGACACGTCCTCGTGTTTCCCCATTGCACCAATCAGCTGAGAGGTAATCTTCTTACACACACTGGCTGTCAGAGTCAAACCTGTTGAGTCAAATTTTATTTTATTCATACAGCTGAAAATCATGAAATCACAATTAGCCTCAGAGGGACTTCACAATATGTACAACAAACAATATCGATAAAGATATCGAGTGTATAAAACAAACCAACAAAATCACATTATATTCTAATTTTGAT